AGGTACACAGCACAATGATTTGACTTGTATACATCATGAAATAATTACCACAATAAGTGTAGTGAATATCAGTCATCTCATATAGCTACAAAATAGAAGAACTGAAAAAGAAATAAAATGAAAAAGAAATTTTTTTCCTTGATGAGAACTCTTACAATTGACTCTCTTGGCGGCTTTCACGTACAACATAGAGCAGTGCTCATTATGTTTATCATGTTGGACATTACATCCCTAGTACTTATTTATCTTATAACTGGTAGTTTGTACGTTTTAGCAATCTTTAGCCAATCCCCTTCCCCCAAGCCCCACATCTGGTAACCACAAATCTGATCTTTTTTTCCATGAGTTTGCTTGTTTGTTTTCGAAGTATATTGACCTACAACACTATGTTAGCTCCTGGTGCACAACATAGTGATTCAATACTTCTATACGTTTCAAAATAATGAACACAATGAGTCTAGTTACCATTGGTCACCATACAAAGATGTTACATTATTATTGACTATATTCCCCACACTGCAGGTATCATTCTCTTAACTCATTTATTTTATAACTGGAAGTTTGTACCTCTCAATATCCCTCACCAATTTCTCTCATCTCCCCCACCCCCTTACCCTCTGGCAACCAGCTATTTGTTCTCTGTATCTCTGACTGTTTCTGTTTTGTTATATTTGTTCATTTGTTTATTTTTTAGATTTGACATATAAGTGAAATCATATAGTATTTGTCTTTCTCTGCCTGAAAGCACTTTCATTTAGCATGATACCCTCCAGGTGCATCCATGTTGTCACAAATGGCAAGATTTCATTCTTCTTTATAGCTGAGTAATATTCCATTTTATATATATGTGTATGTACATGTACATGTATATGTATATGTATATCACATCTTCTTTATCCCCTCATCTGTCCATGGGCACTTAGGTTGCCTCCAAATCTTGGCTGTTGTAAGTAATGCTTCAATGAACATTGGAGTGCTTATATCTTTTCAAATTAGTGCTTTTGTTTTCTTCAAATAAATATGTAGAAGTGAAATTGCTGGATTGCCTGGTATTTCTATTTTTAATCTTTGAGTAACCTCCATACTGATTTTCATAGTGGCTGCACCAATTTACATTCCCACCAACAGGGCACAAGGATTCCCTTTTCTCCACATCCTCACCAACACTTGTTATTTCTGTCTTCCTGGTAATAGCCATTCTGTCAGGTGTGAGGTGATATCTCATTGTGGTTTTGATTTGCATTTCCCTGATAATTAGCAATGTTGAGCATCTTTTCTTGTGCCTGTTGGAAAAATGCCTTCTTTAGAAAAATGTCTATTCAGGTCCTCTGACCACTTTTTAATCAAGTTGCTTATTTTATTTGAGATTGAGTTGTATGAGTTCTTTGTATATTTTGGTTATTAACCTCTTGCTGGATATACCATTTGCAAATATCTTCTCCCATTTGATAGGTGGCCTTTTCATTTTGTTGATAATTTCCTTTGCTGTACAAAAGCTTTTTAGTTTGAGGTAGTCCCATTTGTTTGTTTTTGTTTTTGTTTTCTTTGCTGGAGGAAACACATCTGAAAAAATATTGCTAAGATGAGTGTCAGCATACTGCCTATGTTTTCTACCAAAAGTTTTATGGTTTCAGGTCTTACATTTAAGTCTTTAATCCATTCTGAATTTTTTTTTGCATATGGTGTGAGAAAGTAGTCCAGTTTGATTCTTTTGCATGTAGCTGTCCAGTTATTCCAACACAATTTATTGAAGAGACTCTTTTCTCCACTGTATATCCTTCCCTCCTTTGTCATAGATTAATTGCTCATATAAGTGTGAGTACATTTCTGGGCTCTCTATTCTGTTCCATTGACCTATGTGTCAGTTTTTGTGCTCGTACCATACTTTATTGATTACAGTAGCTTTGTAGTATAGTTTGAAATCAGGGATATAAAATATAGTCTATTTTAATATTTTCTTCATTCTCACTTCCGTTTCAGAATTCAACCACTGGAAGAAATGACAAAACTAGTACAGAAATTTGCTTCTGAGAACAAAGTGAGAATAGAGAGATTTGAGAAGGGGGTAGGGTTAGACAGAAAGCATGATCCAGGAGGAGATATTTGGTTTTCTCCATATTTCTCTGTGTTGTTACATTCTTTATATCATTAGTATATTCTTGTGTATTATTCATGTATTGTTTTAGTTTCCCAGGAGAAGAAATTGGGGAGAGAGGGAGGGAGATAAACAGATAAAATAAAACTAGTATTTAAAATGAACTAACATGAAAACATTAAAATTACTTAAGTGTACATGAGCAAAAATGCATTTTTATTTTGTTTAACAAGATCTTGGTTAATGACACAGAAAGAAAAACTAAGAGCAGGGATGTACTCCACAAATCTGGGAACAGTTGCATCCTCCAACCATCCTCATAGTCTGAGGCTTTTGTTCACACTCCAAGGAGGCTTGTGTCAGGATAACAAATGAAGAGGACAGGATCTTCACAAACTTACACTTCATTTGAAGTTTTTACCTTAGCTTTTTTTCAAAATATTTGGATATGCAAAATGGGTTTTGTAACAATAATAATTATCTGGATCTGAATGTTTTTAAAAAATTTATTTTCTTCCCAACTAGTGATTTTACACTGAAAAAATATAAATATTTTTTGTTTCTTTCCCTACATATTTTGAAAAGTGAAACTAATGAGAACCTGAAAACCAAAAAGTATTTAATCTTCAAAACCATACTTAAACAAAATCATATTCAGGTCTCCTCCACATTTTCACCTGCTTTGAAGCTCTCTTCCACAACACAAAGATTTTACCAGGGGATGTTGAAGAGCTTATCTGCTGACATGCTGTTAAATCTTTCTTATCAGCATTACTTCTTTGGCATAACAGAAAGAAAATTGCATGGTATTTCCCTTTTTAAGTCCAATTCTTGTTACAAGTTTTGTGTTCTCTCTTCCTTGACAAAAATTCTCTTTTAAGGAATTCGAAGTTCAAAGTGGTGATAAAAACTGTTTAAGTTGATTCTGCGACTTCTCATCTGGACAAACAGGATGTAAGGCTGGCCTTCCAGTATAGGAGGACACCTGAGCATGTCCTTTTAGTGAAATCCTATCTCTAAGCCATTGCTTCCTGTGCTAGAGAGCTATTGTTCTATTTTTAAATGACTCCACGTTTTATAAAAATAGAGCATGTCATTTCATGCATGTATTGAAAAGAGAACTCAGCTGGGCTACAGAAGACCCAGTTTTAATCCTGATTAGTTTCTACTAAACAGCTGCATGACTTAGGGCTTGATACAACTTCTTGAGGCTTCAGTTTTTTCACCTGGAAATGAGGCATTTGTATTAGATGACCACTAAAGGCCTTTCATGTTCTAATTTATATGAAGCTTAGTAAGGGAACTCTTCTATTAATTTCTTAATAATAGAGCTTTAAATTGTATTGGAAGGAAATATAAAGTGGTTTTAAAATTTTTTTTTATATTTGGAACTGAGTAAAACAAGTATGTGAGAACATTGGTATGTGGCAGTGGTATATTTTCTGATATCTTTTGTTCAAAGGAACAGTTTGAAAGAATGCCAAAAGTTTATTTTTTTCCCCTTCATTCCTGGACTTCCAATACAATCTTCAACTGCCAGAAATATGGGAGGAACAAAGTCTTTAGCAACTGATTTCAAACTGGTCATGTAAAACCCTAGAACTCTATAAAGCCCTTCAGGGGGTTGCAAATATTTGATCTGAATTTCGCTTTTTAAAATGTATATTGTAAATTTTATATATAAAATATGTATATATTTATTCAAAAATATTATGTTTACTTATTCAACAAATATTCATGGAGTGCATATTATATGTTGAAAATAGTTTGTCTTAGGATTCAGGAATGAACAGAAACAGACAAAAATCCTTTCCCTCCATTAAATTTACATTCTAGTAGTGGTAGCAAAAAAGAATAGTCAAAATAAGTAAATTATATAGCATATTAAAATTTTATAAGGGCAATGGAAGAAAATTAAGCAGTGGCTGCAAAATGACTCAAGAGGTTTGAGTAGATCGGCCTGAGAAGGTGGCAGTTCAGTAAAGACTTGAAGGAAGTGGGGAGGGAGCCAGAGGGGCAGCCGAAGCGAAGGTCCTGAGGCAGGAGCATGCCTGGAGAGTGGGAGGAGCAGCCAGGCTACCAGCACCTCTGGAAAAAGGGGACAGAGAAAGAAGAGGCCAAGAGAAGGAATAGAGGCCTGTGGGTCATCACACCTTTTAACACAATGCCTTTCAATACTGCTTATACAGTACTTTTATGGGGAGCTTTCCAGTATTCTCTTCATAAACATTTGAATATGGCACTAACACCGAACAAGATTTTATTTTATTTACTTGTCTTGTTCAAAATCAGGCCTACACCTGTTCCTTCAAGCAAACACTACATTCTTATGACAACGAATGTGGGCTAAGTTAAATTACATGCCAAACAAGGCTTAGGTATATCTGCTTATGTCACTTTTCCAACAAGAAGTAAATCCATAACTTACTGATAACACTATATTATAATTAGCTCTAACCATCATTTTTAGGTTACATTACTTCTAACCTGACTTACCTTTATTGATAAGGAATGCAAACTACTTTTGAAATATTGTTATCCCATTGCAACTCAAAATAAACAATGTCATTTATATCTCTTTAAAGCTTCCAGAGAAATTTATTAAAAGCATCTTGAGATTTCACAATAAGGTGCTACCTTTCACAAATACTTATCTAAGTCAGCATTTTTTTTTTCTTACTGAAACAGCCAAACAAAATTCACCTATAAGTTGGGTGTTGAGACTGACATGACTGCAAATACCAACTAGACACCCCAATATTAAGATATTGTCTTCATTAAAATAGGCACATGTATCTCACAAATTGAATTAATAGTAAGAAAATGCTATAAATTTAAAATTATAAAATAAATTTAAATTAATAAAATTTCCTCTTTATCTGGTGAATCTACGTAATTTTTGCAGAGTTGGTGCCTAGTAAGAAATGGATGGAAGGTGATTCTGAAGAAATCATGAGTGCAAGCAGGTAAGGGAATATATTCTGTCCTCTTAACCCTTCATTTATTCATCCCCTCGTGTAAATAGAAGAATGAATTTTTCATTAAAAACACATATAGACACATGCACACCCACTCATGTATATGCACACATATATGCATACACGTATGTGTTATATAAACACACACACATATATATATATATATTCATCCTTACATAGGTAGTTGATCGACAGAGACCACACAATGTTATAAAATATTAACAATTTGTGAATTTAGATGAAGCGTACGTGGGTGTTCATTGCACTATTTTTTCAACATTTCCGCAGGCTTGGAATTTTTCAAAACGAAAGATTGGGGGAAACAAAAGAGAGAGACTGGTGTCACTGAACAAAACAGTCTGAATAATTCTGACCTCAGAATGACTTCTCACATCAGTGGGATGTTTGCCCACATGATTCACCAAATGAGGCTGATGAGTAGCATTAGTGAGTCAAGAAAGCCTAAATCAGACCGTGGAATGGCTGTAGACTAATTAGCTAGCCTCATCAAACCTCAGTCGAGTGAATTTTATTGCCTTAATTCACTAAAAAAAAAAAAAAAAAAAAAAAAAGCCTAAACAAAATGTTAACCTCTCTACCCAAACACAAGAAAGAGTTTTAGAGCACATGGAATTTAGCACCAAAGGAATTATGAACTGATATTTGCTCGGATTTGTTATGTTTATTTACTCACTCTAAGAAAAATATTTGCCTTTTGTAACAAGATTCTCTGAATTCACAGGAGAGCTTAGCTCATCCTGCAAATTTGGTTGTGAAAAGTACAGGGGTGAAACAAATATACATTTCAGAATCCTAAATCACAGACTGCAGGAAATATAGGCCCTTGGCTTTCTACCCACAAGGTCGAAGGAAAAGATTTCAAATATTGTACAAGTCTCAGCTGCCCAGAATTCAGCATTTATGTTTACAATAAATGCATTTATGTTTACAATAGGACTCTGGCTTGCAATTCTAGCCTGCCCTGCGGTGCCAGGTCTATCTCTAAGTGTCCCTGGCTCACAGGCAGTGTTTTAGCTGGCCTGTTAGTATTCAAAGGGTCATGAACTGGAGCCATACCAGAAACCAAATGAAATAGGCATTCACCTCAACTGGCATTTGTAAGGCTGAGATAAACAGTGGAACTACTGAACAATAGAAAAGGACCTTTCTTCCTCTCACCAGTGAAACAAATCTTAATATATGAAGATCAAGGACTGCTAGAGATAACAGACACCAAAGAACTGAAACCTCTTAACAGCAGGTGGTATCAGTGGGGCTTGTCTTTTGAAAATGTGTTAGATCCTTTTAGGACTATGTAAAACACTTCTGGTTCCTATGGTGATGCTGATAATACTTTGTCAGTCATTGTGATATCTAGATCTACATTAAGTAGTTTAAAAAGCACCTTGAAATGCTTGAAGGTTAAATTAGTTTCTCCTCTAAATTGCTTGGTGTCAATTGTAGTTGTGATAATTGGAGGAGATATACTTAGTTTGTGAGGAATACTGACCAATGTTTCTTGCCTCTTACAAAGTTTAGAGAAAGAGAAGCAGCCACAAACTGAGTCCCTTTACAACAGCCCCGGACACTAATCAAAGAACATGTCTTCAGAGTGGAAGAGACTAAGTAATTCATTAGTTTTCAGGCAGGGCCCAGACCTGCTCTTAAAGAACGCCATTCCCTGCAGTATTTCCCAATCTCATGTCTGGTCCTTCCTTTGTTAATTTGTTTCTTAGGAAGGGCATTTTCAAATAAAATTTTGTGGAAACGTTTCCACAAGGCCAAGGCGGGCATAAGCCACAAATCCTGCCACTGACCCATATCAAAAGCTGTTTTTTTGTAGTGTTCAATGAACCACCAACCACAAATTTTGTGACTGGGAGGATGGAAAAGATGGGCTTTCTATTCTTTCTCTTTCCCTGGCTTTTGCACGTTTTAATTCTACTACCAGTTGATTTTTGCCGAGTTGTGAAATAAAAAATTGAATTTCCCGGTATACAGAACCTCAGAAATTTTGTTAGACCCATTCCAACAAAAGTTTAGACTGGTCACTACACAGACTTTTATGCAGCACGTTCTGAAGCTTTGCAGGTTTATCTTTGCAGTAGGGCTGACACACTGTTGTCCTGACTGGAGGAATCTTTCCTCCCTAGTTCTAATCCCATTGCTCTTTAATGTAACATCACCATCCCAACAGCTTTGATTGGAGAGGAGGCCTTCTCCACATGCTTCAGCACTGACAAACTTGCTTTGTGACTTCAGCTCCAGTCTTGAGTTATTTTCAGTGAGTTTGCATATATCCTGTTATCAGAACAGGTAATTCTTCCAAATAAAGAATATGTTATGAAGTATCTAACATGCTATATGACCTATGCTAAAAAATTATTTTAGTACACTATAAAAAAGAGTTTCATAAAAATGAAATATTGCTACCACCAATACAATTCCAAAAGAAGAGGAAAAACTAGTTTTTGTTTGCACTGTTAAATCAGAATAACAAATCTTTTGAGTACAGCATTTGCGGCTTTAGCTTACGGAAGATCGTGAGTGCATTTGCTCATTTTCACTACATGAAGTCGACACTTCATGTTTTGCCTATTTTGAGGTCATGATACTAATAATAATAGCTAATATTACCTGAGCACCTAAGGTCTGCCAAGCCTCTGTTGACTCTTGATCTTTGTATCAACCTCATTAAGTTGAATCTATTACTATCCTAATTTTGCAAATGAAGAAAGTGAAGTCTGGTTAGGGAACAAAACAAGAGTAATAGGAAAGTTGTTCTGAGGGACTGTAGTTCCTGGGATCTTAATTTTCACACTGATTGTGTGCTACAGCCACTCTTGTCAGTAAATTTCACATTTTCTCACAGTTCATACAAGTTTCCAGTTGTATTAGTCTGCTTGGGGTGCCATGGCAAAATACCATAGACTGAGTGCCTTAAACAACAGACATTTATTTCTCACCATTCTGGAGGCTGGGAAGTCCAAGATCAAAGTGCCAGCAAGGTAGGTTTCATCTGAGGCCTTGTTTCTTGGCCTGCAAGCCGCTGCCATCTCACTGTAGGCCCAACATAAACCTCTTTGTAAGTCTACAGAAAAAGAGACAGGGAGAGAGAGCTCTCTGGTGTCTCTTATAAAGACTCTGATGCTGTCTAATCCTATCCTATCAGCTCAGGGCCCCACCCTTATGACCTCAGTTAATCTTAAATTACTTCCTTGGAGGTCTCATCTCCAAATACAGTTAGGGTTTCAACATAAAAATTGGGTGGCGGTGGGGAGAGGCGGACACAAACAGTCCATAGTCACACATAACTTAGTGTATTTCCAAAAGAAAATTATTCCAAGTTCATTGAGATGTTAACCAATAGGTATTTCTCAATTCCAAAATTTTCTCTTTAACAAAAATTTGAAATATCACATGTACTACAGGCCTCATGGACAGAGGTTAAAGAAGTGATACTCTTCATTGCTCATATCAGTTTAGGTAATTAGATGAACAATGGTTGACCTTTGAAGGGAGCTGTATCAGAGAACTAAAGCAAAAATTCAAGCAAAACATCTGAGTCATTGGGAGGTCAGCTCTGATGAGACTCCAGATAAATTCATCAGCCTGTAGTGTTAAGTCCATACCATCACCCTGACTGGGGTATGCTCTGCTTTCACTTATTATGAAATCCATTAATCTAATCACATGTTATAATCTAGGAACAAGTATATTTATACACTTAAAGAAGAGATTAGCGCACAAATTAAAAATAACAGAGATAAAAAATAATCGGTTGTAGCATTTCCCAGAAATGTAGTTTACATTTCTTTTTTACTTAAGCCATAATCATTGAATGATTTATATGGAAAGACAAGAGAGTAGGAGCAAGATTGTATATTATATACAGTTATTGAATCAATCAATAGAAAGGAAGATATTTAGAAACGAAGCTCTTAGACCTCTATAAAAACATGTCCTTTGTTAGAATTTCAATTGTCTGACATGGTTCAAATCCTACTCAACTCATTATGATGTTTGCTGTCAATATTTTTCAACAGCACATTGAAGCATACCACAGTATTTGAAACCATAGCCTATAAATATTGCTGTTACACAGCCTTCTGCTCTCACAATGGTGAATCAGGGTAAATGTTATGAATTTTCTCAAATTTATTTTTTCCGCTATATACAGTGTTAGGCTGGCCAGGCAGCGATACCTCTAAGCATCTATGCAACTAATTTAGGACCTTAGAGGAAGCCAGAATCTCTATTAGCAGGTACCAAGTATTGCACGATGAGAAACATTTTGCCCAGATGAATATCATAGCAGCTTCCTGCTCTTGTAGAATCTCACTGTGAGGAATGGCAAGTTGACTGAAAGTACAGGTCATTAAATAGACAGATGGAGATATAGATGGATAGATAGATAGATAGATAGATAGATAGATAGATAGGCATCTCTACTAGGCTACCAGACTTCCAATTCAATGGCATTTGAAAAAAAAAATAGCACTTGTTTGTGTCAGAGGCAAAATAGTCTTAGCTCTGAATTTATTTCCTTTTGGTAAATTGATTCACACTTTTTTTTTCTTTCTCCCTATTTCTTTATCTCACTACACTGTAGTTTTTGAACCAGAGCAAAGAGTCAAGGAATATCATGTTTAGGGGAGGAATATCATTCACACACCTCAAACCTGCTAATCCTTTCCCAGTTAAACTGACAAAGGACTTTTCCTTTTGGAATAAATGTGCTGGAATCAAATGAATTGCCAGAAAAGGTTTCTGTGCTTTGTTCTGTTTTAATTCCATTCCTTGTGGCCTGACTTTTGCTTATCTTCCTGTCAACCTTCTGCACTTACCTTGGCATTTCTCCTAATCAGCAAGCGAGACTACATAGGAACGTCGCCTGCAAGTCAGTTAAGGTAAACCTGGCTACCTGCCTCCTGGTTAGGACTTTTCCAGTAACCTCAGCTCTCATCATCCAGTGACAATCAGACATA